ATAATTTAAATTAATGATCTATTTGACTCGATTCCAATTTATATGAATGAATGTAATTCATTTTATTTCCAGCCCATAAAATCACATATTCCATCGTGTGCGCTCGTTCGGCGCAAAATTGAACGAAATTGCTATTGTAAAATGTATGTGTAAGCAACACTTGTTCAATTAAATTGATTTCAATTTCATTTTTTTTTGCTGCTCCTCCCGTCACCATTTTCATTCCGTTTGAAATAAAAATGCGTCTTTGCACTTTTACAGCGCGCACTTTAAGTGGCCGATATAGATTTGCATTTTGGGTTGGATTTCCATTTATTGGGTCAACCTGTTTTTTTCTCCCCTGTTTTTTTTTCTCCTTTTTTTCTTGTTTTTCCGCGTTGCTTCGGCAAGCATCTTCCTTTCATGGTAAAATGCAAAGCGTATTTGTTTGTTGCACTCACACAACGAAAACTGATCACGTCTCATCGGAACGATCGAATCTCAAAGTCTCCAAAGCCCTTATTGCTCTATCTCAATCTAAATCTAATTGATGGCATTTGATTTCTTTGGTCGCACTGTTTGTCCCGATGCGACGCTGCTGCTGCATGCAAAAATATCTCAAGTTGTGTTTTGTAAAAGAACTAATCATTGAATGTGTATGAGGCAAAGAGAGAGAGAGAGAGAGAGAGAGAGAGAGAGAGAGAGTTGGCTGTCTTTTGTGTACATTGTGTACACTCTGCTTGAATTCCACTTTAATTTTAGCAATGATAGATTTATGGTTAACATAAATAATATTTTCGGTATGCCTTTCTGCGTTCCAATTTAACTATTTCTTTGCATTTCAAATTTTTCTCTCCCTCTATCTCTCTCGCTGTCGCTCTTTCGCTCTTTCTCTTTCTCTGTGTAGTTTTGTGTGGATGCCTTGCATCATCCGCATTCATTGGGCATTCAGTAGTTCTCTTTTTTTCTCCTTGTTCGTTTTTTATTTCCTTTTCCCTCTGTTCATTGTGTACTGAGACTGGCTGTGTTCACTTTGAACGGTTCACTTGCACAGGCACTTAAAATGCACACACAATGCCGGGCCAGCGTTGAACACAGAAAAAAATGGGAAGAAAATGCAAGCGAATACAACGATCACACAGCCACACAAAAATGAGAAGCAAGGGAATTTCAACGCATAAAATTTATAATAATTCCTCGAAATATTATTTATGAATGAAAAATGTTTTAATCCGTTTGGTTCGGGAGAGGAATTTTAAAATTGATTTTATTACGTAGGCAATCGAATGCATTGTGAGTCTCTCTCTCTCTTCTTTCCTCCCCCCTCTCTCTCTCTCTCTCTCTCTCTCTTTCTTTCGCCGTTTTTTCTGCGATTGGCCATTAGTTTCGAGATTAACGGTTCGATTAACAACACAAAATACTATAGAAAATATTTATATACGCAAAAGTAGTATATCTCTCGTCGATTTCTTATGCACTCGCTATGCCTTTTATGAATAATATTTGTGCCTTTGTCGTGGTTGCGCGTTTTTTTCCGCTGCAAAGTGAATGATTTATTCTTGGAGCGATGAATTGACAGACTCCGACCGATTTTCGATATCGAATGTGATTTTCTGTTTTATTTGCTTTTCTTGCTCATTTTGATTGAACCATTTTAATTCGTACAATGTGCTGCATTCTTCGATGTGCTGTGATTCCATGCCGTCTCGTGGTGTTTTTTCTTTCCTTCTCTTGAGCGTTTAAATTGAGTGCATTGCAAATTTATGTGGTCGTTTGACTGAATTGGCGAGTTCTTTGCTCTCAATTCTCTATCAATTCTTCGCTTTTTGTACCACGATTAATCATCATGTTCAACAAATTAATTGAATTGTTGCATATTGTTCGCTCGGGAATCTGTGTTTTTTTTTTTGCGCCATCAAATTACACACGGCCCGCTTTCCATATCCCGTACCAGCGGCCCTCCAGCTCACTCTCATGACATTTACTTCTATCGAACTAACACTTGCCAAATGTGTACACGTATTGGATATTCGTGATGGGCACAAATCACGCTTTGTTATAGTTTCAACAGAAGTATGATTTCATTAAAGTTCATAGCCATAATGAGCATGCAAGCGTTATGCAATTTGGTTGACTTGAATGAAATGCACTGCACAAACGGTCAAACAGGAGAAGAAAAAAATTAATTGAGTGCTTTACGATACTGAACTCTCTTGAACGAGCAATCAATTCAATCGACCCCAAACACCCATCACGCATACAGTATCAGTTTTGTAACGAAATGCGCGCTGAGCGCAAGAACGAGAAAAAAGGCGTCAATAAAAGACAATTTTGCATAAGTAGTACTTCGGTATCTTTATAAAACGAGAGAGAGAGAAAAAAAAACACCAAAAAAAGTACCGTGAGCTCGTCGCGTATGAACACGTTATTCATAATTTATTGTTGCGTTTGGAGTTGAAGCGCACTTCAGTCAGTCTGTTCGTTCAGTGCAGTAGCACACATCGTGAACGGTGTACAACACTAAAATTCGGTTTTTCTGTGTGCGCTCTGCCCTGCTTTTGCCATTCAATAAATTCATCGGTATATCGAGTAGAGGATTTAAAGTCGTCATTTTTCGGCACTTCTGGAACCAACGATTTGCTATTGCTGCTGCTGCTGCTATTGTTGCCCCCATTGTTTATGGCATAATAAAAGTTTAATCACCGGCTATTAAAAAGTGAATGCTTATTTATTATTTAAAAGAGCTGATTTTCGACAAATATGGAAAGCGCACGAGATAAATTACGGTGTGTGTGTTTTTTCTTCTTCTTCGGGGATACAAACAGCAACAACAACAACAACAACAACAATAACAACAACAACAATAGCAGGAGTAGCAGCGGTAACAATTCCTCAATACGATCGAACTGTAAATGAGTGACATTATGATATGCGTCGCGGAGATGCAGAACAACATGCAAAAAGAATGAGGAACCATGAATTACCTTAATTTCATCTCGTTGTTGCTGCATTTTTTTCTTCGTTCGTTCATATTCGTTGGCTGTTGTTGTGTCGTTTTGAGTTGCCCCCACGGAAAATGTCACATGCATACTCATTTTGGCTGGGCAAAAACGATTAAAACACTTTGCACGAATGTGCAATCACTTAATGGCTCACATTCAAATTGCTTGCTCGAACGAAATGTGTGTGTGTGTGTGTATTTTGTACGCAGCTATAATTTGTGTAGCAGAAAGAAAATTGCCTTCAAAAACAACGCTTTTGGCACGGAAATTCAATTCAATTTTGCCATTTTGTGGGCCTTTGTTCTTCGTTGTTGTTTTTTTGCCTCTCTTTTAAATTCATTTAAACGACTAAAGCCATCCTAATTTGGATTCATTGAAATGCATTTCGTTTATTGCATCGTATCAATTGTGGGTTATCCACGTTGTCGTAGTGTTTTTTGTTTGTTGTTGTTGTTATTGCTTCAGTCACCGTTCAATGTTTGGGTTTCATTTTTTGGCCCGAATTTCGTATTTTGTTTTCATTAGCGCGATTTTTTTTCCCCATGGTGGGTGTTGTAAGCATTTCTCCTTTTTCTTCACTTCGGTTCTTAATTGCTTTATGTGCAAATTTTTCCACGAAATGTGTATGTGTGCTCGTTCTATTTTGACTTGATGCAACCAATTTATTGCGATTGCTCTTTGCTTTCGGCACATTTTGTTTTTTTCATCCGTTGGCTTCTGAAAACCAAATGTTTATAGTCATTTTATTGGAAATCTGCTTCAGCATGAAATTCTCACTGTTTATTAGATTTTGTTTCATGAGCTGAAACAGTGTTTTTTTTTTCTGTAGTTGTCAAAATACAATCTTTACTGTTGAATTAGATTCCCTGCTAAAAAATGTGGAGATTTAAAAGAGGGAAAAAAAGAACGTCACTCAAAGCAAAATGAATTAGATGCAAATTCCCACTGTGCTCCCATAGACAACGCAGTGAATAGTATTTGTTCAGAAAAATAGCATAATGCTGTAGCAATCAATTTGAATGATCGTGAATTGATATGTATCGCATACCCTTTGATCTCCGCATACGATAACTGAAAAATCAGTTACGTCATTCAATCGCTATGTGTATGTTGGTGTTTTTTTTTGTTCGCCTGTCACCGCCACAGCATTGGTTTTCAAAATGAAAACGCGCAATAGAATTTAACGATCAAAATGAGTTCATGAATTTTAATTGCGACATCTGTTTTGTTGTGGTTTTAATTGTGTGTTTTAGCCAAAATGTATAACTAGTTTTTAATCCAAATGGCCGTTTGGTTTTGCGACGTCAAATATTTGGTTGTGTAATTGCTATTCAGCCTCCCGGGGCAGTAGCAAATAGCGAATGCATTTTGGTCGGCCCGAAATATGAGAAGAAGCATTGAACGAACGCATGAAAAAAAAATGAACAATAATATGCACAAAATGAACACTACAACCAAATTGCCACCTGGCCAAAAATCCAACGACACACAAAAAAAAATTAATAACAACCCAGCGAGTATACGATGCACATACGGCCTGAATACAAAGCGTTCATTAATTTTTGCGAAAATAATTTGATTACGATGGTGCATCAGTTTCTATTCATGTGATTGATGAATTTAATGACAAAGTGTGAACATGTCATACAGTTAAAATGGTCATTTGCACAAATGAACGCGACACATGATTGAAGCGACCGCCATCGCTACTGTGCGCTGATGCCCAGTTGTTGAGCGCAAAAATGAAACAGCGCTCCAAACTCCATGCAAAACGAAACGAAAAAAAACGAATAATAATAATAATAATAATCAATGCAACGAAATTATGCACCCGAAGCAAACTCAATAAAATGTTGAGTGCACTTTGGGTTAACCGATTCGGGAAAACAAACGCTCTTTTACCCAATGATTAATTTTTTTTTGGTTTTAATTTGTATACGTATATAACATATTGCTTTCAAATTATAATGTTAAAATGTATGTTTTTTTTTTAACTCTCGCTTCTCTCTTCTTTTCCAGCCGAAGACCACAAAATGAGCTAGCCGCATGACAATAAAATGATTCTCAATGTATGCATAGCACGGTCAACATGCCGCTCATTCATCAAATTCCTGTTAATATTAGCGCTGATTGGGCTTCGTGCCGCTGACACGACAACATCGTTTGATACGCACATCACATCACCCGATCAAGGTAAGCACTTTGTGTTCAATTGGGCGATTTTCGTCTTCTTGAGAGTTGCGCAATTACATCAATCGACAATACCCGATTAGGAGTGCGGCAAATTTCAAGCGGAAAATCCATATGATTTGTATTGCATTGTGTGATGGTCGTTTTCATTCTCTTTCATTGTCTCAATGATTTTATCCAAGCAGATTTATCGATTGGTGATGATTTACCGATTTCATCAACGCCAGCACTGGTCGGATTGCATCACCATCAGCATCAGCAACAGCAACAGCAACAGCAGCAGCAGCACCAACAGACGTATCAAACACCACAGTTGCCTCCATTTAAATTCCAACATCGTGTCTACAATGTATCGATTCGAGAGAATAGCGTGGGCAAAACATATGCCGTGCAACCAACAAATGAAGCACGTATGGGAATTTCATCGGATACGCCCGATATCGATATTAAGTATCGCATTATTGCCGGCGATAAGGATAAGCTATTCAAGGCTGAAGAGCGTACGGTTGGCGATTTTACATTCTTAGCGATACGCACCCGTACCGGAAATGTCGTTTTAAATCGCGAAAAAATCGATTCATACCATTTAAAAGTGCGAGCGACGGGCACGCGACGCGATTACAAAACGAAAATCGTGCAAGAGGATGAATGCATCGTTAATGTAATCGTGCTGGATACGAACGATTTAAGCCCATTGTTCTATCCAAATGAATATGCGATAACCGTGCCCGAAGACATGGCACTGCATCAAAATATCGTTAAGGTGATGGCAGAGGATGCCGATTTAGGTATTAATGGCGAAATTTACTATAGTTTTTTAGAAGAGACTGATTGGTTCAGCGTACATCCGACCAGTGGTGTTATATCGTTGACACGACCATTAAAATATATCGAAAAGTCATTGCACGAATTGATTGTAATCGCTAATGATCGCGGCAGCAGTCCATCAAATCGTCACAGTCAACCGAGCAAAGCAAAAGTTAAAGTCCGTGTGAAACAGGTAAGTTGGTTTACGTGAATATTTTTTTGTTTTTTTTTTCTTCCTCGCTTGCTCTGTCTTGTTTTCCCTTCATTTTTGCATGCATTACCGTCATATTTTCGTGTTTTTGTTGTTTGCCGGAGAGAGAGAGAGAGAGAGAACTTCTGCCGCTGCTGCCACTACTGTTGTTGTCTTCAATTCAATCGTGTTTGGTGTTCATTCACGAAACTCAAAACCCAATATAAATATATATCAGCGTGTAATAAGTGTGCTTGCGCGCTATTTATACCACAGCTACTCTATACCAATTACACTTCATATCGTTGGTGAATTTTTTTTTCTTTCAATAAATTAAGTAGATGGTGTCGGAGAGAGCAAAAATAAACGACTAGCGAAAGCAGTTTGAATATATTGGCGGCGAACAAACCGAAAAAAAAAATACAGAGCTATCACACAAATGCAAGAACTGAACCATCGAGCGGGTGTCATGCAGCTCTCTTTATTCCGATTTATGTGAAAAATATATGCAAAATGCATTCGCCGCCATTTATCGCTGTTATTGTTGTTGTCGATTTATGCATGTTTATGTTTATGTCATTAGCAAAGACACACAGTAAGTGAAAAAAAGCAGCAACAGCAACGACATCGAGTACCTGCACTTTCATAATTTGCCACCTTAGCTCGCTCTCTCGAACTACGGTTCATTTCGGCAACACACAATCGATGTGCACACAGCAATTAAATACTGCGATTTGATATTGGTGACAGAGTCTCGAGTTCCTTGTTGCTGTTGGTATTTTTTTTATCCCAAAGTATTTCGATGTGTTTGGTTTCTGGTTGTCATTGTTGTCAAGCTCCATCAATGTCTCGATTTTCCCAATTTTCTGCCGCTTTTTTTTTGCTCTCGAGCCGCCACTCGGCACTCTCACTCACGGTTGTCATGTGAGAAACACAAATAAATACCATTCTATGTGAATAAACACAACAACAACAACAAAATTGAAAATTAAAAACAACAACGATGACGATGACGGCGACGATGAAGAAAACAAAACAACACACATACAGAAAAAATTGTTCATCGAAACCATAAAGTAATGTGCACAATGCAATAACAATGGCGCAAAGTGAAACCAGAATATGCATAATTTGCAGTGCACAATGCTGAACACGATCGAAAGGAATGACGAGCTAGCGCGAGCTAGATAGACTGACTGACTGACTGAGTGAGTGAGTGAGTGAGTGAGTGCATGAGTGAGTGAGTGAGTGACTGAGCGAACGCGAGCCGCCAACAAAAACACTATGAACATGCAGAAAGCGATTGGTTTTGCGTTGGAAATTTCACATATTAGTTTGCAGTTATGACATTTTATCTAATTTATGCATCGAAAAACTCCATCTAATGGTATTTAATATCATAAATTCATGTTGATATTGAATACTGGCTGTTGCTTTCCATATCATATATATGTAGATGGTCTGGTCTGGTCTGTTTTTATTCCTTCTTCTCTGTTTTCACTTAGCATTTCAGTCATTTCATCAAAGTGCTCGCGCGTGTTCGTGCAATCGATACAATGCGTGCAAATATGCATAAATTGTGCACAGCTATTTCATTGCTTGTGTGTGTTTGGAAAAGGGAGCAAAAACTTTTCGACTAACTGACACATCGCACGCATTTGTGTTCTGGGTGGCCAATGTCTTCTTCCTTTGAATTATGCATAATTTAGTAGCTTGATTGAAAAGATGACGCATTAAAGAATCACGTTCGACGACACACTCGACACACACACACACACACACACTGAAAAAGAAAACAATCGTCTTCTTTTGCTCGCTCACACACAAACATACAAATCGCTCATGGTCGTCGCCATCTTTATCGTCGTCGTTTGAGCGGTTTTCGCCGTAGTTTGTTTGCCTCATTATAAACATTTTACAAGTGGTGCAACTTGCATACCAAACGATGATGTACACACAAGTGACACTTCCCAGAGTGTGTTCGTTGTGTATGTGTGCTGTTTTACACCGCCATCATCTTCATTAAAGCATCTATTATGCAAAAATTTATGCTAGAAAATTAATAAAATCAGTAATTGTTTCGAGCAGCCGAAGCAGCGATGACGGCATCGACGGCAACGGCATCAGTAGCAGCCGTATTTGGCTGGAACGATTTCACAACTTTTCGTTTGCATATGCATACGCATATCGTGCTTAACTTAATCAATTCACAAGGAACCGAGAATCTCAGTTGGTGCCCTCCGCTGTACTGTGCCCTGCTCTGCTTTCCCTCTCTCATGCTCCGTTCGATTGCTTTCGGGCAGGCACACCAAACGAACGAACGATCAACTTTTAACATGGGAAAATATCGCGAAAAGTTCACATTTAATAAATCCAAATGTTATTAAGAACACTGGCGTACAGCAACAAAATGAGCATTCCCTTCTGAAAACATCCATCCGTTCGCGATGGCAGCGCAAAAAGTGTGTGTGTGTGTGTGTAAGCGAACGGGAGAGAGTGAGTGTGCGATGAACGAATTTAAACCGTGTGTTATCTGTCTTAGTTCAAGTATTAAGCACGAAAATGATCCGCATTAAAACCTGAAACTTTTAATTTACTTGCTCCGGCTCTTGTCGGTTGTTGGTTCTGTTCTCTCTCTCCTCATGCTCGCCTTTTTTCGCCTTTTATTTTTCGTACGCTCGTGCACTTTTTGTTATCGAACTAGTTTTGAAATTAAGTTGATACACATACCCGAATGAAAGTTCGGGCACACATACACCCTCTCTTGCTAACATAAATCTGCCGGAATTGGTGGCGTTGCTCGAAATTCAATGTGAAAATGCTTCAGCATACAGTACATATATCGACGATAACTATATAAACAATAACAGACAGCAGCAGAAGCAGCAGCGCGAATGCAATCAAACCATCGCCCCATCGAAGAGTGTGCGAAAGCGAAGAGCAGTGTTCAGCATGGATCCTGCGAAATTCGTGCTAAAGTTATTAATTTTATTGACGGGCGAAAAAGAGACAAATTCAATCGTCGCGCATTCACTCCAATATAGAGTGTTACAGAGTATTGATTGGCAAAAATTGAATTGAGCACAAGAAAATGACGCAAATGCACCGAATCGAGCCAATACATAGAGCGAGAGCGGGAAAAAAGCACCTAAGCAGCAGCAGCAACAACAAAAACAACAAAAACGAGCAGCGACTCAGTAATTGAATTTCAAATCTGGGCGCGTGTGCATCAAATTAAAGTAACGACATTGCCTTGTATTTGCAAATGAATTGCATTCATTCGAATTCATCGTTAGGAAATTGCAATTTGATGATGTTTTCATTTGCATGCATTTCTGGGGGTTCCTTTTCAACTGAAAACAATCAATTTCTCCGGCAGAGAGAGAGAGAGAGAGAGAGAGAGAGAGAGAGAGAGAGAGAGCGAGTGAAAGAGCATACACATGCGGCAGGCAAAAAATTGATTTATCGATTTTGTTCTCTCATCATTTGTGACATGGTGGTTGCGATGTGATGGTTTTACATTTGCGAAAGCATATTTCAAAGTTTTCCACAAACGCTTGAGCTGCTTGAAAATGCACAAAGTAAACGGGGCCAACGTACATTTCAGTACATTATAAGCCAGTGAAGGCATAAATTCATGACTCATGCACTCGATTGAGTGCGAGCGAGCAAACGAACGAGAGAGGGAGAGACGGAGCAAGCGTGTGAATGAGTGTTGAACAGTTTGTGATTGACGAATTTGATTTTCCGAAAATTACACTTAATTATACGCGGAACTGAGCGATCGGTTCGCAAGAAAATGGCACAGCTACCATTGTGACACACAATGCATCGAGCCATCGATTCCAAAATGTCAACGACAAAGTTTTTGTTTGTACACATCCCGTGTGCACAATGTGCATTATTCAGCGAAATGGTTTCGATGAAATCGAAACAAAAAACAGTTTTAGCGTATATGTGACAGAATCGATTATTCGCTGTGCTCCACAGTAAATTCGGGTGTTCACATTTATCGATAAAGAGCCAACGAGAATGGGTGAATGGGCGAGAGAGAGAGAGAGCAGGGGAAAAAGGAAGCGAATAAATGAGTAAATGAGTTAGTTGTTTGTGAATTAGAATATGCGATGTCTATGTGTGTGCTCTGTGTGTAAGTTTGGCCAGTGATTGGTTGTGTTTATGTGGGAAAACTTGATCATAAATGCACAAAACTTGGGCCAGTCTCCATCTCCCTCACTCTTCATCGTTCTCTCTCTCTCTCTCGCTCTCTCTCTCTCTCTCTCTCTATCTGCATCTGCCATTTTGCCAACAATAATTCAACGGCATTACACAATTGCAAACAGTCTGAATGGCCTGTGCAAATGTGTCGGAGTTCGTTTATATTGGCTGTTATCATTATTTTTCGAAAAAGACACTGATCACCATCGAACATACAAACATACACACACGGAGAGAGAGTGTGAGCTTTATACGAAACATAGAGAGAAAACAGGCCATAAAATCTTCCGGTCTGCGTAGGGTAGAGTATTAATTGGAGAGTACTATCTATGGGCCGCTCAATTTGGTTGTTATATTATTATTTTTTATCTGCTTTTCTGGCCTAACATTTGCACAAATGCACACATCATTCTCTCTATTTCTCTCTCTCTCTCTCTCTCTCTCTCTCTCTTTATGCGACTCGATTCGGCTTGGTTCAAGCCCGTTTCACTTCTGACAAAACCCGAAATGCACATTGTATCTGTACAGCTGAAACAACATGCCTGCTAACCATAAACATGCACCATGCACAATTGTACATAGAGAACATGCGAACGAACGAACGAAAAAAAAATATTGCTGATATTAAAGCCCATTGCACTCACAAACCTGTTCAATGAGCTCATGATGCAGGCAAACAGGCGCTATTCACCATTCAATAATACACACACACTAAATAACAACGAAAAAAGCTGAATGAAAATTAAATAGATAGTGAATGTTATGAGTCTCACTCTACCATTCACAATATTGACTCACGGTCGCATTTGGCGAGAGATTTGAATGTACAGCGAATGAACAACGGCTCTCTCTCTCTCTCTCTCTCGACTTGATTCATATTTTCGCATTTCTTCATATAAATGTATATTTTAAATTGTAAATGCGTTTGAAAGTGCTTCTGATTGCTAAAATATACAGAGGAACGAGCTAAACGACCAAGAGCGAGTGAGCTAGTGAGCGAGCAACCGACAACGAGAGCGGGTGAAAAAAAGAGAGAGAAAACATTACGAGCGAGAGCAATGGATAGCGAGAAAACGTGTAAAAAGCGGCACATTCAGAAAACTTATATATTCTTTTCTCATCAGATGACAAGCTGTATTTTCTGCTTATTACAATATTCCACCAGCCAAACAATTCCATAGATTGGGCCCATAGATTACTTCAACATATGAATGAATGTGCGCAGTTACAATCGTAAAACACGTTGCACTCGTCCCGTCACAAGAATAATAATAAAAGCAGCAGCAGCAACGGCAAAATAGGCGCACATAATAATCAATGGGAAATCGAGGAAATTTTGCATATGAAACGCATGTACGCGCTTGCTGCTTGCTTTGCTTGCTCTTTGGCTCGTTACATCGGGTTCGGTGTTGCATTTTAGCCGGAGCCAAAACCGAATTACATGTGTGTGTGTGTGTGCCGTCGTTGTTCAAAAAGCGACAACAATCGTTTTGTTCATTTGCTTGTGAACATAAACCAAACCACATCGTCTGGATTCGCATTAATAATTCGACATTTTATCATTTTACCATTTAAACTTTAGCTCTCTTATAGACTCTATGCTCACTGCCTGCCACATTCATCGTCGTTCATTTTTCCCTTGTCCTGTGTTTTTGCTTGCATATTTTGTGTGTGTGTGTGTGTCATGGGACACGAAAATTTCACATACGGCCTTTTATTAAACCCAGTCAAACATACATTTTACTGATATTGTTTTTTTTCGCTTCATTTCTGTTCTAATGCTTTTTTGTCGTCTTTTTTTCATATTCTCTCGTGCCCCGGTCGAACAGGTTAATCTACATGCACCGGAAATTTATGTGCAAGCATTGCCTGACATTTTAGAAAATTCACATGCAAATATCTATGGGATTGTTCGTGTTGAAGACAAAGACATCGGTATTCATGGTAAAATAAAAATTTTAGACATTGTTGATGGCGACCCGGATGGCCATTTTCGTATACGGCCCACATCGAATCGCGGTGAATACAACATCGAAGTACATCGGCTATTGGATCGCGAACGTACACCAAATGGCTATAATCTCACACTTCGCGCCGTAGACGCTGGTACACCGCCGCAGCAAAGCTACAAAGTGATACCCGTTCGTTTAGCCGATACAAACGATAATGGTGAGTGAAATTGAAATTTAATGTAGTTGAAAAGCCATTTTGTGACGATGTCAGAACTCGCGTGCACGAGTTGGAAAACTCATTTTCGATGACGCGAACACTCGGCAACGGAATTTTGGTGTGTGTTTATGTGTGTTAGAGTGCGTTGAAGCATACACACTCTATGTTTACATTTTATAATAAGTTTTGAGTACTATATAATTCCATTGCTTCAAAAAGGATGTTGAACGCAAATATCCTTTGTGCAATAAATGGAGTATAACCGCAACTGTTGTGGTTACTGCGACAAAAGCGTTTATTTGAATTTGAGTGAAAGAAGAAAAAAAAAAACGAAATTAAAAATTCCCTTTCTTCTGCATGGAACATAACTCGTCTGATTTTTCTTGTTTCTTCATTGTTCAACTGTAGCTCCAGTGTTCAATCGTGAAATTTACGATGTAAATGTAACGGAAACAGCACCGCCAAATACACCAGTCATTCGGCTGAAAGTGACCGATCGCGATGAGGGGAAAAATGCGCTCGTTTCGCTGGAAATTGTTGGCGGCAACGAAGGCGGTGAGTTTCGTTTGAATGCCGAAACGGGTATGCTGTACACGGCCGTTCCATTGGATGCCGAACTAAAGGCATTTTATACGCTCACCGTTTCGGCCATTGATCAAGGCAACACGGGCACACGAAAGCAATCATCGGCAAAAGTGAAAATCAATGTAATGGACACAAATGACAATGATCCAGTGTTTGAACAAGCCAATGTCACCATTTGGGTGGATGAAAATGAACCGGCCGGCACAACAGTGACCAAAGTATCGGCTCGCGACCGTGATACAGGCGATAATGCCTATATATCATACTCATTGGCTAATTTAAATGAAGTACCATTTGATATTGACCATTTTTCGGGCATTGTACGCACATCCAAGCTCATCGACTATGAATCGATGCGTCGTGAATATGTACTCAAAGTGCGTGCCAGCGACTGGGGCTTACCGTATCGACGGCAAACTGAAATGTCGCTCACAATTAAAGTCCGCGATGTAAATGATAACCGGCCACAATTCGAGCGCATCGATTGTGTTGGCAGCGTGGCACGGTATGCACCAATCGGAACTGAACTGTTAACATTGTCCGCTATTGATTTTGATGCAGACAACTACATTAGCTATCGTCTGGTGTCGGGCAATGAAGATGGATGCTTTAATATTGATGCCACTTCCGGTACCATATCGATTGGATGCGATTTAAATGATGTTCGCGTTGAACAACGGTTTATCAATGTTACGGCCACTGATGGTCATCACTTTGCCGATGTTATGCCCATCGAAATACACTTGCTAAACAGCTCTAAGAATGCGATACCATTGTTTGGTGAAATGGGCAAAAATTATGGAGCCTCAAATACGAATAGCCGATATAATACGGCTTCAACGGCCGGTGGTTCATTTCAATGCAAAGAGACGGGTGTAGCACGCCGGCATGCTGAAATGCTTGCATTAGCCGAAGCAAACAATATGATTGGCAGCGGTTTCGATACAAATAACAGTGAAGAGTTACCCATGATGCCGATTCGATACGGCGAAAATGTGCATGCACCCGAATTCATCGATTTTCCTAATGAGGTGAGTGTTACACTTTTGTTTACACTTTAGAACTAGTTAAATTAGTCTCTTTACGGTAATCTTCATCAGGATATTTGAGTAATTTTCGATTGAAGTCATGTTTTTGTTTGAAATCAACCCTCTATGTTCATGTTAGATTCGTTAAAGTCTTTTAGTTAACTTGCTGCAAACTGTTAAATCAAACACATTGTAGCAATTAAGCAATTAGTTGAAGTTAAATCAGAAAACCTTAAAAACCATCACTAACACCTGATGCATTTCAGATATTCATCAACGAAACGGTACGATTGGGAACAACAGTGACATGGATAAAAGCTCGTGACCGTGATCTTGGTTACAATGGTAAAATTGTGTTTGGAATTTCAAGTGGTGACAATGATTCGGTGTTCCGTTTGGATCCGGACAGTGGTGAACTCAAAATCATCGGATATCTCGACCGCGAACGAACCGATGAGTATGTGTTGAATGTGACCGTCTATGATTTAGGAAATCCACAGAAAACTGCATCCAAAGTGTTGCCGGTAGTTGTGCTGGACGAAAATGACAATGCACCGGTGTTTGAGAAAACATTGGCCAGTTTTCGTGTGACCGAAAATGCATTGAACGGCACAATAATACTGCGTCTAAATGCAACCGATGCAGATTTGGGTGAAAATGCGCGAATCACATATTCGATGGTCACCGACACAAATGATTTTCGTATTGATCCTGAAACGGGTGTTTTATTCATTTCATCGCCATTGGATCGTGAACGACAAGAATTGTACGAGCTACAGATTCGTGCTTCGGACAATGGCCACAAAAAGGATCAACCACAATTATTTTCGGATGCAATTGTTCGTGTTATCGTTGAAGATGTGAATGATAATGCACCCGAATTCAGCCTTAAAGAATACAATATTCGCATTCGCGAGGATATCCCAGTGCATACAGTGGTTGCAATAACAACGGCCACCGATTTAGATTCCGGGCCCGGTGGTGAAGTTTTGTACAGTTTAAGTGATGACATTGATCATAGTTTTAAGATTGATAAATATACGGGAACAATTCGAACGATAAAAGCATTGGATTTTGAAGAGCGACAAATTCATAGTTTAACCGTGCGGGCATTGGATCGCGGTACACCGGCCATATCGTCGGAAACATCGGTGATTATTGAAATTATTGACGTGAATGAAAATCGATTTGCACCGCAATTTGATGATTTTGTGCTGAGCGGCAGCGTTGCAGAGAATCAACCGGCTGGAACACATGTTATGGTCGTCACGGCCAGAGATGCAGACGCACCCGGTCCCGATTCACGCATTTCATACTCGATCCGGGGAGGTGACGGTCTTGGCGTTTTCACCATCGATAACGAAGGTACGGTCAATTTGCAAAGTTTTTTTTTCTTCATTAGTTTTGACTTTTTTCCACTTCTTTCATATTTTGATTTTTCATCAATTTTCCAATATTTTCACCATGTTTTTCTGATTTCAAATATTTCCACATTTTCCGTCTTTTTTTTCCCGCAAAATCGCAATGAGCTCCAGTCAAAGCTCAACGAAAGAAAGAACGGAAAAAACGTAGAAAACTCTAGCGTTAAGTTGTCAACGTGGTGAAAAGATTTTTCGCCGAATATCCAATGCAATGTGTATATCGTGATGTGTTTTTCTTCTTCTCTCGATACAGGTGCAATTCGAACGACGTGCATTTTGGATTTGGAAACGAAGCCACACTATTGGCTGACGGTATGCGCTCAGGATCAGGCTGTCGTTCCATTGTATTCATGTGTTGAGGTAAAAGTTGTTGTTGCTTTTCATTTTCTTTTCTCGATTTATTTTTTTTCGTTGCTTTGCTTTCTCTCGTCTAAGCGTTCGAACAATTTCTTTATGTCGGTTTTCGAAAGATAAAACTTTTCCAATATCAGACGTATTGAACAATGTTCAACAATGCAGTCATTACCGTGTTTCAAGATTTCCGCTGAGACACACACTTACAGCAAGCCAAAGAAGAACAGAAAGAAAAAATCTGCCTCAAAACTAACTTTTCTATCGTAAGACGAAAGAAACAAAGCATTTGTTGTTTTATTTATAGTGCAGAAGCAATAAATAAGTTTTTAGTGTATATGTGCATTGTGCACTGTGTTTGTGGGTTAATTGTAGCCGAAATGTTTGAATATTTTTTTTTCTTCTCTTTCCGTCTTTTTTGGTTCAAAATTTGTAGGTGTTCATTCAAATTGAAAATGTGAACGACAACGCTCCATTAACTGAACACCCGGTGTATTATCCATCGGTGGCCGAAAGTAGTCCGGCTGGTGTGAAAGTGTTGCAATTAATTGCTGAAGATGGTGATAATGATCCGCAACAAAAAATTACATATCGCATTACATCGGGTAATCCAGAGGGATTTTTTGCCATCAACAGTAGCAGTGGTAAGTAAACATAAAAACACAAAAGCCCATTCTCAGCCCACTCGTCCTCCGTCCACATATTTAAACAATGTATCATTCATTCATTTGTTCACTTGACTCGTTAATGCGTTGAACAGCAGCAGTAACAACAAAAACAGCAGCCGAAAACTGGCTTTGGTTCTCATTATAATTGTTCTGACTGAAAGAGAGTACAAAAATGTGATTGCCATGATTACTGGTGTGCTGCTCGAAATGTGTGTGTGTGTGTGTGTTAAGAGAAGCGGCCAACATGATATTGCGCAAATGTATGCTTTTATAAATGGATTTTATTTCGCATTATGGGACACACTTTGCTACTGCTTTTCTCTCTCTCTCGCCCGCTCACTCTGTGTGCCTAGCTTGTCGTCCGTTGGAATGTTTTCGACGAGAGAGAGAGAGAGAGAGAGAAGGGGTCGGTGTGATGTAAACGGAACAGGTAGCAACAACGACGACGAACAGCAAGGAATCACACTGTGAAAACAAAATAACGTAATAACAATAATACGGAATTTAATGATAAAATAATCTGCATTTTGCGTTATTTAGACGATGTTTATGTGTGCAAATTCTGCTAAGCACATTTAATGGAATGTCTTATTTCGTCGAATATGTGAACGACAGATATCACACCACACAATCAAAATGTAAACGTTAAACAATATATATGAAAACTGAATATTGAGGATTTCCGTTCGTTAGCTCACTGTGCAAATGACAATTTCTCTTTCACTTTTTCTCGTTCCTTGACTAGAAACTCTCGTTCGAGCGAGCATTGCGTTCAATTTGGTTGATAAGGCGAAAAGCCTTAACACATACGTGTGTGTGTGTGTATGCTGTGATGGGATATTAAATAAAAAGCATTGATAATATTCTGTCTTTTGTTAGTTTTCGAATACACATTGTCAAAGCCACAAAGAGCACGTTCTGCATTTGGCTGGCATACAAGACGAATTTTCCATTCGTCGTTCACCACTTCGACGAATCGCCTCAATTTTGTCGACTTGACAATAGGTACAACGAATGAAAGAAGGAAAGATAGGGAAAAAAATTATTTACAGTACCAAAATTCAGAAAAAGATGGGCGATACAGAGCCAAGTACGAAAAATGACGATGAATCTAACCAATTCGATTCAAGAAGAAAAGCATCACAAGTAGAAGAAGAAGAAGGAAAAAAAAAGAAGCAGATGATAATAATAATAGAAAATAAGTATCAAGATATGACGATGAAGACGACGATAAAAGGCATCGCCAAAAATTAGCGATGAAGTCTCAGAGTGTGTTTCGGAAATTGTTATTTTTGTATCTCTTTCTATGTGTGTACACTTTCCGGTTTTGCCGGATACGGAGACACCGAAAAAGTAAAGCGAAATCAGAAATGAACGCAGCAATAGTAACAGCCACATAGCACACAAGTGGTGTGAATATGGCTCGAGAAGCAACACCGAGTCAGCCACCCACGATCCCAGCTTCAGTGTTTGTAAAGAGCACATTCGGCCCATTGTTGCTCTATACTCTCGTTCATTTTCTAAGTATTGTATTTCGTCCTTTTTCGACGTGAGCGCGCGCTCGTGGTACACGCACGCTATATGTGTTTCAATGTTTATTTTAGCATATTAAAACAATAAAACGAATTTGCGAGCCATTTATATTGTGCAAAAGAGAAAACACACGCTTTCAATTACATTGTAAAAAAGAATGAAATGTTCCAATAAGATCGAAGTCACAATGAAATGGCAGGTTAAAAAAATACGCTTTCTGATTGTGAAAAGGACTCGTTAGAAAAAAAAAGCTTTTCGCTTTCGGATCGATCGAAATTTTTAGAGTTTTTTTTTGTTTCGGGGAACTCAGTTTTGGGCAAACGCTGAATACTCAAGTAATTTGTGTTTGTTCTTCTTTGATGCGGGGTCCGATGTTCGAAAAGATATGATGAATTACACCTGTTCATTCATCGAAATTTTCGTACCGTTCTGATTTGATGTTGGTAAATTGGAATTTATTAACAAGCGCTTCGAACTCGACACGACTGCCAACTGTGAGTCAATTTGTTGTGCACGCTCATGTTTTTTTTACCGCGTGCGCGCTCTCTCCTCCTTTGACTTCTTCTATCATACACTCCTTATCTCTCTCTCTCTCTCTCTCGTACCGTTGCCACATGGTATTTGTGAATATTTTGACCGTCGAAAACTCATTTCAAATCAATTAAATGAAATTACACTGTTTTATAAAGTTTATGCGGCCATAAAAAGTGCCGACGTGATGTTTTTTCACCGGCAATTTCTCTGCTCGTTCTGCTGGTACTGGTGGTGAACTGGTTTGAAATCAACCTCAAATTGCTGTGCGATTACGTTTATACATGTGTGTATGGGAGAGAGAGAAAGAGAAAGGAAGAGAGAGATAGAGAGAGAACCGATGGGGAGAATTGTTGAGCTTTTTGCTGGAATTCATTGTTATTCGGCCGTCCGTTAGCTCTCGAGTGCGTGGCTATTGGTCGGTTTGCCGCGCTGCTCTTTTTTTTGTATATTTCATCAGCTAGATGCAAAATAGGCTTTTAAGCACTTGTTGCGTTGCGATATTACTTTTTGTTGTGAATTTTTGCTATACCGTTGTTATTCAATAAATGTCAAAGTTTCGTTTCACGAATGTGTAGGCAGTTCATTCGTCGCTGTTGTTTTTTTTGCTACTGCTGCTGCTTTTCAACCCCTAACAACTCGAACAGTTGTTTTTTATTTCTCTTTCAATGCCGAAAAATACGTCAGCAATCGCATGGCACACATAAGTGTTGCTGCAGCAAACAACTATTTGCTCGACAAAGAGAGAGAGAGCGACCCTCCCCGCACGGCGTATCATACATATATGATATACGGACTCATGTCGAGAAATTCATTAAACTTTCGCATATATTTCCGAGCCATCAAACAAGCATATGAAATTTATTATTGGATTTGATGGCCAAACAACAAGAGCAAACAAAACGAATTGAAAAAGAAACACGCGCTCAAATACAATCACACACACACATACACACTTGCACGCACACCAGAGAACTTTACATTTGAGTGCAATTCGAATATATAGTTGGCAGTCGCCAGTCGTCAACCGTCACACAGAAGCCACTATAACATTTATGAGCACTTCACATCGATCATATTAAACTATTAAACACATTCGCCCAAAGACTTTGTTGCATGTTCTGGTTCAGTGTTGCTTGCCATAATTTTTTGCTTCCTCGCTCTTGCTCCCACACCCAACACATCAACTCGTCCTTCCATATTTCGCGCCAAATTCGCTCAACTAGAACATCGAACAATTTTTCTCTCGATGCTCAGTCTCGAGCAGTAGTAGCAGCAGCAGAACCATTTCCTGCTACGGTTGTGTGTATACGCGCGCTTTGATTGGCCGCGTTGATTGGATTTATGCATACAACACCCGACAACGGGAACAAATTGAATTGATTTTCCATTTGTAAACATAGAACACAACACACAGCCTGTGCTAAATGTACTTACATAATCCCGATCACAATGAAATGCCACGCGATTTTTTGTTGTTGTTGTTATTGTTGTTGTTGTTGTTGTTGTTGTTGTTGTTGCTGCTGCTGCTGCTGCTGTTGCCTGCGTCTAACACACAGAAATTTTCCTCAAAACGATGGTGCGAAAGAGCTTACATAGCAGGAGGCACAGCAACATGAACTGCACATATTCACCCAGAACAACAATAAGCAATGAGAAAATGAATGAATGAATGAACGACATATGATTTTTTCCCTCCCTTTCTTTCTTTCTTTTCTTGTGTACAAATGCGACTCTTTTCAGGATTAATAACCACGACTGCACGCAAATTGGATCGAGAAAATCAATCAGAGCATATACTTGAGGTATGTATTTTATTCTATTCTATTCTTGTGTTATTTTCTACGATTTTTTTTTTCGTAGCTCTATCTCTCTCTCTCTCTCTACACATGGACGATTTTTTCAGCCTCATTATTTGATCAAACTTTGTTGATTATAGTTGTTGTTTTCGTTTCTCTCGTGCTCTACTACAACGCGCCTCTCTTTTTTACTCGCAACGGAATCGAGAATCTCTGCTCCTTTTGCCAATGAATGACACGCTCACTTGGGATGCCTATGTGGCAGCCGTTTTTCGATATTTTGATATATGTTTGCTTTATAGCGAAGTAAAGGCAATCAATTTTCTTGAGCGCATTGTTTACTTCCCTATTTTGGTATATGATGTTTACCACGATTGCATATGTACGTATATGTGTCTATATGGCATACGGTGGCGTTTGACGTTCAAATCAATTTCAACTTGTGCTTCTCTCTCACATTTCTCTGTCTTCTTCATCTTCTCTGGTGTCTCACTGCGTTCAACTTCGTTTTTTTTTTTGCTGCATTCGCACTGTCATTTGCTGTGCGCTTGTCATGTCACTTTTACTCGAAGAATATACGGCTCATCATTCTTTTCATTCATATGAATAATTTCAAACTTCAATTTGTCTTTTTTCTTTCTTTTGCTTTCGATATGAGCACACTATGCCAATTCCTTTGTTCATACCGTTCACGTCTTTCGTCTTCACATTTTATTCGTTTGGCCCTGTTCTGTCATTTGTCAATTCAATCCCATACATGACCAACCACATTTGAAGCACATCTAATACCATATTATCAGTAAATAAACACAAATAATCAGTCAATGAATACACATTTACTATCGTGCATTCAGACCAAGTTTTCAATTCCAAAAGAATGAATTAGTAGAACATTCCAATATTCATTCAATAGTGTGTGTTTATTTTTCATGTCATTTATGATTCAACCATTACTAATTGCCTAAAGTAAACAGAAATATGATCCGAATAACAAAAATATTCTTTCGTGATTGATTCAGATGAGAGAACGAGAGAAATATGTTTAAATCTGAGCTAAGCCGTTTTTATTGATTCATATCTGAAGTGAGTTTGTTCAGTCACTGAACTTAAGTGTAATCGTTTGATGTGAACCAAATGATTACTCACATTACAAAAGAGAGCATTAAATGATTGAACATTTCCTGCAGAGATATTCCTCTTGATTCCTATTTATGGGTTTATTAGTAAATTGAATTGATTTCATATCATTTACCTCGTAAATTCTTTTTTTTCTGTGACCAATTTTAGAAAAGAGCAAAAGAAATACAGGGCAAAACTCGAATTACAAAGAAAAAAACTGAGAAAAAAAATAAATCGAAGAAAAAAATCGTCCAAATATAGAAGCGTGAAATGAAATCCACTTAAAGTGAAATGTCAAGTAATTTTCGCCTTTTCTTGTATGGTATTTCACGTTCATTCGAAAATAAGAAAGACAAAAAAAAAACTGCTGGGCATAGCTATTCAATAGCTGCGTGTTGTGCTCAAATTTACTGATTTTTCTTTTTTTTTTCGTACAATGTATCATTGATTCGTATAGGTCATGTTAACGGATAACGGTATACCGCAGTTATCGTCGACCACACGTATTGTCGTCACCGTTGAAGATATCAACGACCATCAACCGGAATTCGACCAGAAATTCTACAAAGTTCAAATACCAGCCAATGCAAAAATCGACCAAGCCCTTTTCCAGGTAAGTGAATCAAGTCAATCAAAATTCAATGGTGTTCGGTCTGTTTTTTTACCTTCGCCTTCTCCCCCCTGGTTTTGTTTTTGTTATTAGCGATATTTTTTTTCTATCATCATGTTCGATATCATCAATAATAATAATCACGATAATAGCACCGATAATAACGAGATTGGTGTTCGTTCGTCATTTTTTTTTTCTTGCTCATTCATTTTCTTCTCCTTCTGCTGCTGCTGCTGCGGCATTCATTGCTTGTGCCACTTCAATTTCTTTCGTTGTGAGCACAGACACAGGTCAGCTACATATACGTCAGGCATTTCAATTAGAAATTAATGTAATAAATGGTCTCGATAGAGCGCGAGTGTGCGCTCGTCAAGAAATTGGATGCGCTCGGGCGTTCGATAGACGAGTTGCTGCACGCTTTTTTAGCACTACATGAAATGTAGAGCTACTAATCTGCTTTTTTTTCTTATACTTTTTGAGTGATGAAACAAATTATGGTGAATTTGAATTTATGCTCATATTTTTTATTTAATTTAAAGTTAAACCAAAGGCAGTATATTTCAAAAAAGAAATTAAAAACCAAGATCTTGTAATTCATTTTGCAAATAAATATATTACTTCAAAGTTACTTTGATGAAATAGATTTCATGTAGTGAGCCAAAAAATAGTTTGTTGTGAAACAACAAAATAGATTAAATAACTAAAAACTTAAGAACGCAGAGCGGAGCGAAGCGAAGCTCTGCGGTCTTGTTTTCTTCTCCATCTCTCTTTTAATTTTTCAATTAGGACTGAATGGCTGCAAGTGTATAACATACATTGTTGCCTTCAAGCAACGGAAACACAAACCAATTCCAATTTGTCTGCAGCACCTCAGTCATCGAGCTTGGTTTTTTGCGCTTCTTGAAATGATCTTGCTTTGAGCAATTTTTTTTTTGTCGCAATGGACTTACTTTGTAAAGCAGAGAATTGGTTCAAATGAAAATGCTCGATTCTTAGTATGTAACAGTATAAGTATTTTAGCAGGAAAACAGTTTGAACGATTAAAAAAAAATGCCTGTTAATCCATACTCGGCTGTTATTATATACCATTATTCGCGATAACATTTGTGGTGACACAGGCGCGTGTTGGTGAGCATGTTATTTCCAGCTTGAAAATAGGAAAACCAATTCTGCCGCCGAAGATACATGATTGCGAGAAATTCAAGCCAAGCAAAGACGTGTCCTTGCAGAAAGGCAATAGAAAAAAAAACATAAGAACAAACCTGCACCAACAACATGTCTCAAAAATTCACGAAGCAGAAAAATGAAGACACCCTAAATCCACATTCATTTTTATCCATCTGTCTCGTTTGCTCGCATTTCTGCATACGGTGGTGTGTGTGTGTGTATGTGTATTTTGTGTTCACATCATTATATCGATAGCACACCGTTAATCTTGGCAAAGCAACATACGCACTCGTGCATACAAAAATAATATTTCACATTTTCGATACATTAAATTCGTCGTTCGCATTCGTTCTGTACATCCATTGATGGGTGAGAAGGACGAAGATGGGTGTGTGTTGTGTAAAATATCATCGTCGTGTTGTTGGTTCAGTACAAATTTGGTAAAATGTCTTTTGTCCTCGTTTTTTTTGGCGCACTCACTCAATTTAAATCAATCACAATATCTGCTACCATTTGAATGCGAAAGACCGGATCGACATCCGGCAATGATTATTGAAGCGATACACATCCTTTTTGCTGTGGTAAATTCATTTGAAAATTGAGAGGCGCCTCATCGTCAGCACCAACGCCGCCACCACCGCCACCAATGATATATACTAGCTCAAACGTACAATTTACAGCGAAAATCGCGAATTGATGCTCGTTGAACAGAGCGGCAAAACTGCGTCGACCAACGATCATAACATGTTTTTTTTTTTGGATAATTGATTTGAACACGAAATAAATGGTGTAAATGGCAACAACAAAGGGGATGGTTCGCATTGTTTTGTTTGTAAGCCATCAATCGCTTAAGCACACGCACCCAAGCACACATTCGGCACGGCCGCCGCTGGTGGTGGTTATTTGCTAAAAATACCGTCGCTTTTCGTATTCCCTTGAATAATATATTACTAATTTCAATTTAACTAGTTCCAAACCAATCATGCGGTAAATCGTTAAGGGAAATTTTGTGCAGAGAGAACGAGCGTGGGCACTAGAGAAAGGAAAAGAGCAAAAGAGAGAAAAACCGCAGCGCGCATCGTCTGTTTTTGATTGAAACATCATCGATCCATTAGTCGGTATGTGTTCATCATCTGGTATATCGGATAGGCCGTAATTTAACTTTTCTCTCTCTCTCTCTCTCTCTCTCTCTCTCTTGCTCTCTTTCTATTTGCAATTGGAACGCAATTTGTGTGTGTATGTATTTTGGTCGCTTATCCTGCACTAGTGGCGGTCGTTCTTTTTTTTATGCTCGCTTTCTCCTACACTCTCTCTTGTCGAGTGAGGAAATGTGTTTTTGAACACATCAAGTGGAAATTGACGAAAATATCCAGTATTCGCGCACTTTGCAAAACCCACTCAGCGCTGTGCTGTGACCAACGAGCGAGAAAAAAAGTAACAACATTAGCATCAAAATAGCAATATCAAAATGTTGGCCCAACCAAACACAATATTAATCGTTGCGAGAGAAAAAGTTTTTGCCGTTCTCGTTAGCTTGTTATTTTGATGTGTCTGTCTGCGGTGCCGAAAGAAGAATATATCTAATGATTACTTGTGAACATTGGTGGCGCGCGTTTTCGTCGCCACATTCATACACACACACACACACATGTGCTCACACCAAACGATGGCCAACTTCAAAACACTAATTTACACCACAGAGTTCTATGGTATTTTGTCGAAAGGCCATCAGGCCATCGCAAGTGCCAATACCAAACCATTCAGCCCACCATCTCACTCCCTCCCTTGATTTTTTTTACCTCCCAACGATTCGTTCGCTCTTACCTTTTCTCGTTTTCGTTTGTGTGTGCTCTTTTTCATCTCGTAAGAAATGGCGTTATTCTGGAAAATTATCCATTTTCTGGCCGATGTTCGATAAACTAATGCCGACATTTTGTGTGATGAGAGCCTTTGTAAGTTTGCCCGAAGGATAAACGTCTTCTTTTCAGCTGAGACACTTACTGATGATTCGTTATCGTGTGGCAAAAAAGGGATAGATTGAACTGATTTAAAATGCAAAGTATTTAAAATCCATTGGGCTGGCTTGTTTGTCTCATGTCCATTATTTTATACATCAAAGCTCTCTCTCTCTCTCTCTCTGTCTCTTCTCTGTCAGTTCACATCTAATATTGTTTGCGAAATTGCAATTTTCCCGGTCCGTTGAGAGACGAAACAACAACAACGGAGAAGAAAGGCGAACAAGACGAAAAGGAAGAAAGGCGATTTACAGAATATTGCTCTGCACTTAGATGTCGTCCACTGATGAATTGTATGTGTGTGTGTGTGTGGGGGGGGGGGGGGTTTATGTGAGAAAGTGTGGCATCAAACACTTGATGCTTTTCTATGTTATCGTTCATCGAATTCATGCATTTTCAATATGTTCGACATATTTCTTTTTCTTTGCTTTTCGCCAGAGCAAGCGAGCGACCGCTTGCCCAACAACGAGCGAGCGAATGGTGTGTATTTTGTTGGTGACTTTCTTCACCAAAGACATCAGATAAAATTACAAAGTTTTTCCATGGCATTTCATAAAACCTATTTCGTCAAGTTTGCCGTTTTTCGCCATCTTGCCATCCCAAATTGGAAGTTTTCCCAGAACTGGGTTTCGTCTTCTATTTTTTTTTGCTTTTGCTACACGTCGATTGCTGTTGTACTCTAGCTTCGTTTCGTGGTAGGCATTTTACGGTATATGTTACTGGGGATGGGATGGTTGATGCTTGAGACTTGTCTCTCTACAAGTCGTTTCTATCGTTCCTCACTTTTCGGGTGACGTACTGTTGATTAGTTTGGTTTGCCAGCCAACATCCATTCACTACCACTGTCGTCATCATCGCCAACACCACCACCATCGTCGCCACCGCTGCCATCATCACCATCATCAACATCATCATCATCGACATCGTCTTGAGAACTCGCGCCAACACTCGCACGACCGCACAAATGCGTAGAGCACGAAGTGCTGTGTAATTATGTGTATGTTCGTTGTGAAATTCGTTAAGATCAAGTGCCTCTCCACATGCAATCGCTAAAATTGCAATTTATCCAAATACAATAAGTTAACATTGCCGTTACGTGTCTCTCTCTCACTCCCCGTTGCTCTCTTCACCTACTTTTGTTGACGAACAAATCTATAAAATACAATTAGTTCATTACGGTGTGTTTTCGGTTGGGTGTGTGTGTGTGTGTGTGTGTGCGTGGGTGCAAAACACCTAGCAGAGATATGAACAGAGAATGGCAACATGGAGTGAACGAGAGAGTGAGGGATAAACATAGATATCAAATGGCCCATGAGGCATGACTCAATGAGCCAAGTCATCATCAAACAGGTGACTATTTTGCCCGCACCAAACACATTCCGAGGTTAAATCAAATGGAGTTGTGTATACATGTATGGATTAATTTGAACTGTGTGCTTTTAGTGTTAGTACGCTCATTCAGGTTGTGATTCAGCTCACACACTCACATCCACACACAATGACTGTGGCTCGTCGAAATAATGAGGCCACAAATGAAATGACTTTGCTCACGAATTGAGTGACGAACGTTATTTTTGGCATTTTGCAAAAGTGTAGAAAATAAACATAATAACGGATTTCATCGCTATTGCCAGGCAAAGAGAATCCTTCAGACATTTTAGAAAGGAGCACACGCTTAAGAGGCAAAAAATAGGAGAAAAACACGCAGCTCTCTCAAGATTGGATGGCAAAGTTAATTGAGAAAACTTGGTAATTTAACAACAACAAAAAAAAAACAAACAAACAAACAAACAGTACATGCCAAAAGATTATGCTGAGGCA